TCTTACTCTAACGAGCTCTCTCTTAACTCTCCATTTTCATTTTTAGCCTTATTTTATAGATTCTTAATGGAAGTGTAAATTTAGCAAGATGACTTATATTTATGTACAAATATGAAGATACCAAATTATAATACATAAAGAATAGATTGACATAAATAACAATTAACAACATTGAGATTGGATATGGAGTGGTCATCTATAGGGGTGGCAAAATAGCTCTTTTTTTTTTTAATTCTTTCACCCATAAGATTTCTCACAATTCGTTTAAAGATGTGATTGCTCACATCGGTAACCTTTTGGATGATTTGTGTTTAGAAGGAATTCTTTTCTTTAGCTTTCGAGACTACTTACAATAGGTTTAAATATACAATTATTCATGTTAGTAATCTTTTGGATGATTTACATTATGAGGAATTCATTTTTTAGTTTCGTTTTTTTAGAGTAAGCATCGAGCCGAAACATATATTTTTCAAAAAAAAAAAGAAGAAGAAGAAGAAGAAGAAGAAGAAGCTAGAGTCACCTTATGTTGGAAAGAAAAAGAAAGGGGTATCAATGATATTCACACTAACCCCAAAAATATCTTACATGCAATCATCAAATGAACCAAGTTTGCTCATTATGTTAAATGAGATTACATATCAAAGATGAACTCGTGTCATTTAGAGAAAGACATTGAAGCTTTTTTCATAGAAAATTTAAACCATGAGAGTGAAGCCTAAACCAGCTTGCAAGACGTCTTTCTTTTACATATTCAAATGGAAACCATACATTGAAACCAAATGAAGGAAAGGAAATAAATTACATATCAAACTTTGAAGACTTTTCCTTGCTTAGACATCTCATATAACAAGTAGTCACATCGTCTCATATAGTTATCAAAAGCTTCACGTGTATTACACATGCCACCTTTATTGATAGACAAATTTATTTTTGAAGAGCTATGGCTTCTTTAGTGACCTTTTTAGCTTGATCCCCCAACATAAATAGATGTTTATTTTGTTCATCAATGACTTTTTCCAATTGATTATATAGGTTGGACCGAGTATAAAGATTGATCTGTATTGGTCCCTTTTTAGTCATTAATTATCTTCTTCTAATGAGACAATTTGCTCTCGAGCTTTTTTCAAATATTCTACTAACTCCTCCTTGTTGTTATGTTCAAGCTCAAAAGAGACTTCCAACTCAATCTTGACTTTATAAAGCTCTTCCATTTTTATATTTCGGATGTCTATCACAAAGTTAGTTTTTTCACACTACAATCATAAGTTGTCAACATCAATGGATTTTTATGATAATTCTACTTGGATTCTATGTCATAGCAATTTTTAATGTTCATCTTCGATCGTTATATTCGTATGAGTGGAAAGCTATTGATAGCTTTGTTTCAATGAATAGTAAATCATTTAAAAATATTAAAAAGTCATTGGTGGCTTTACCTATATAATTGAGAAGCCAACAATGAATTCATTTTAATGAATAGCAAATCAATTAAAAATAATTAGAAGCCACTAGCAGTTTCATCCATATAAATAGAAAGCCATCGATGACTTCAATTCAATGAACTAAAAATTAGCTAAAAATGTTTAGAAGCCATTAGTAGCTTCATCTCGCATAAGTGAAAAGTCATCGAAGACTTTGTTTCAATGAACAACAAACCATTTAAAAATGATTGGAAGCCACTAGTGGCTTTGTCCATATGAATGGAAAGCCACCAGGTGACTTCATTTCAATAAACTAGAAATTAGCTAAAAATGTTTAGAAGCCACTGGCGGCTTTATCTACATAAGTGAAAAGCCATCAATGACTTTGTTTCAATGAACAAACAATCATTTAAAAATAATTGAAAGCCACTAGCAGCTTCATCCACATTAGTGAAAAGCCATTGATGGCTTCATTTCAATAAAAAAAAATCAATTAAAAATGATTGAAAGTCACGATAGCTTCATCCACATAATTGGGAAGCCATTAATGGATTCATTTCAACAAACAAGCAAATCATTTAAAAATGGTTGGAAGCACCGATAGCTTTGTCCACATAAGTGGAAAGCTATCGATGACTTTATTTCAATGAATAGCAAATCAATTAAAAATGGTTTAAAGCCACCGACAACTTTGTTTTGATGAACAATAAATCGGCTAAAAATCATGCATTAGACATGAATATTATGTAATCAAAATACCACAATCAACATATTGAATCAATCATGTCATCCAAAACCAAACACAATCATTTTCAAGTTCAAACACCGAGACCAAGCACTCATTCTAGATAAACTATTGAAATTAAATCCTAAATACAATCCTCCTAGCTTTATCATAAAGCATTAATCATCAACCTTATCGCTCCTCAAAATACCTAAGGTCTTGACCCTTCGGTTTCAATACATAATGGTCTATCTAAATACTATTCAAATATTAACAACATAACCAAATATACATTTATATATTTTTTTCATTATAAATATGTCATTCACATCATTTTTATCTAAAAATTAGATTACTACAAATATTTTTGGAAGTTACCTAAAATCGTTGAAAAGTATTAAATTTGTTCAAAGTCCTATTTGGGATTAGTTTCACTTTTCTTAACCCTGATGAAGCCTCGATTGTTCAATCAATCGGGGAAAGGAAATAGTTGTCTTTTGTCAAGGATATTGGACAATATGTGAAGAAAGTAGCGTTGCTTGTGAACCTAGTTGCTTTCGTGTGACCAATGTCGATCATGCTTGATTGACAACATGTTTGGTGGGAGTTGTGGTGTTAAACGAGTGGCAAAAGTGGACATCTAATGACTGGATGGAAGATTTTTGGGGCTAGAGTGATTTAGGTAAGCTTGATGGGTGGTTTGGGTGTGCTAATAAGGGGAAGGTAGATGGCGATGAGGTGGTGTGGCGTTCGAGGTGTTTGGATGGCCTAGCTAGACAATGGCGACTCCATACGGGTAGTGGCCAAGCTTTTTTTTTCCCCTCCTAGGGTTTCTCTTGTGAATAATAGCTAAAACTAGAATGGTGAAGAAGAGGGGTATTTAAAGGGGGATTTAATTAAGGTTTTTGATATAATTCAATTTAGTCCTTGATTCCTCGGTCTTTTTCAATTACGAGTACAAATCTTTTTGGTCTTCTTTCAATTATCTTCTTAATTGAGATTATTCAAGCCTTTTTCTTTTTTAATTTCTTCTAATTGTATCCCCTTTTATCTTCAATTAAGGCTCTTAAGTTTTAAATTTTTTTAATTATACCCTTTAATTGGATTTCTTCTAGTTCTAATTTCTCGAATCATTTTAATTGGACCCCTAAAATATTACCTTTTTTATTATTTTTTTTTCAAAAAATTTAAAAATTAAATGGGGTAAAAATTAAGTGTTAATAGTCATGGTTAGTATCGATTGAACAAACGTAATATAAAAAGCATACCTTCATTATGAATGTGCTTTTCGGTTTAGCAAATACATGAAAATGCATTTTTATCCTCCAAAAAATAAAGATATCTTTTACGTTATTTTTAATATGTAAAAGGATCAATGTAATTTTATAAAATCATTCAGTCTGAACACTACATGAAAAAGATAAGCCAAATGAAGGAATGGAAAAAATTAGGATGTAAAAAAGGAAAACATGAGTGATTTGATAGTTGTAATATTAAATACTCAAGAGATAGAGTAACACGGGAAGATTAATGTTGAAAGTCGATTGATAGAAGCCTGCTGAATGTCCGGGCTAATACCGTGGGTTGCCCTTTGCCTTCGGCATTGTTGACATATGTCGTATGGGGTAAAGACTCCATTTAAAGTAAGAGGCATATAAAGTGACACATGTCAGCCAGATATCATCAATGATCAAAATAACACTAAGAAATAATTGTTACTCAGCTCTAACAGCTTAAATTGTTGAAGCAAGTACTATCGATCCAATTGCAGTCATCCCTCTCCCAAAGTCGAGGACTACTCAACCAAATTTCTCAAAGGAAAAACAGGGACCGCGAGCCTGTGTACTACCTAGTCCACCAAACTGGCCCCTCCTTCGCGCACAATTAAGCTTAGATGTTATTCTTAAGAATTGACAGGATCTGAAAGAAGAATTTAGTTCGGTTTGTGTGAAAATCAATTTCAAAAGAACGACATTAAAAAAATAAGTAATTAAACATTATGTTACTTTCAAGCACCGGAAGCTTAACTTTTGGAACAAGTAATTTGATCTATTTTCATAGTCATCCAGATCTGTTTAAAAATAACAATAAAAAAAATTGCCCACATACAATTAATCGTGCGGTTCCTTGTTAAAATCTTCATTATTCAATTGTCTTATGAAATTGAGGATCTTGCAAGGCTTATTTGGCGATATGCCTAGGGAATTTCCATAACAAAGTCCGCGCAAAAGTTAAGAATTTCTCAGAAAAGAAATCAAGCAAAAAAATAAAATAAAATAAAAAACCTAATATAATCATATAATACAAAAATTTTACGTGATTTGATAATAATATATGTCCTACGATTCAATGAAGATTTCTTATTAAATTTTATCAAATGATAACTAAAAATATAAATGATTTTATATTTATTTATAATATGAATAACTAAAGTTATAAATATAAAAAATTTAAAAAACTTATATATCTGATCTAATATCCTATAAACTTTTCAAAAACTCCACTTTCGAGTCCCTTGACTATGCCTATGTTAAATTTATATAACACCTTATATTACATATCCATCCACGTCGGTTTTTATAATTTATCACGATTGCTTGTTAAAATCTTCATTATTTAATTGTCCTATGAAATTGACGGATCCTACAAGGCTGATTTGGCAATATGCCTCGGGAATTTCCATCACAAAGTCGGCAAAAAAGTCAACAAGTTCTCGTCTTTCATTGATGTCTTTTTGCGGTCATTGTAGACTACGAAACGGTGAATGATCTTAACTATAAAATATAAAGTATTAACCTATGTTCCAATGTCTTCTCAATTTTGAGTAAACCAAGTGTTCTATAGAATTCAAAGAAATGGCAGAGGCTACAGTAAACTTCTTCCTACAGAGACTGGTGTCTCTATTACTTCGAGAGACTGAAACCTTCGCCGGACTCGAAGATCAAATGGAAAGGATAAAAGGAGCAATTAAGGAGATTCGATGTTTCTATGGAGATAGAGGGAATACAGAAGACGATGCTGCCTTTTCTACCTGGGAAACTGAACTTAAAAATATACTTGATGACTTGGATGATGATGTCGATGAATTGTTATTCAGATGGATCATCAACATGGGTCTGGTAGGTCCGCATTGACAGATTGCTTCAGAACTGAACTGCAGAAGGTAGAATCTCGACTTGCTGAAACCATTCACAGAATGAGCGAACTGAAGAATTCAAGCACCATTGAAGGTAGGAGGGGAAAAAAGAAGATCACAAGGAACAGCCCCATGGAAAGTAAGAAGTCCAGACAGGACTTGATTCAATTGCCAGTGAAGGAGAGAAGCAAGATGATGGAGGTAACAAAGAGCAATTTCATGGATACAGAGAAGGTCAGACATCTGCTGCGTCTTCTTCTGTCCCACTGAGATTAAAATATAATAGCTTACCTTATTACCTTAGATCTTGTCTGATGTATTGTTGCATCTTCCCTGAGAATTACTGGATAGCTAAGGGGAGATTGATTCGGCTGTTGGTAGCCGAAGGTCTTATACAAGAACAAGCTGGTCAAATATTGGAGGATGTAGCAGAAAAGAATATTAATGAACTGGTGAGCCAGGGAATGCTTCAAGTAGATGATGCATGCCGAGATAACGGAACTAAAGTCGTTGTTTCCTCTCCTTATCGGGTGTTCCTTCGTGATACCTACATAACAGCTCAACCCGATTCAGATTTTTCCATCCCAACTAAAGCACGCCGTATTTTAACTCCAGATATGAAGAAAGTTGCACGGAGTTTAAACAATATCCGACCCCGGGCTTTATTCTTGTTTGGGAAGCAAGAACTTCCTGACGAGAACTGGCTGAATTTTGAAGGGGCAAAATTTTTGCGGGTGCTAGATCTAGAAGATGCAAAGATCAAGAGATTACCAGACGAAGTGGGAGACCTGATTCACCTGACATTTCTTGGATTGAAAAACAATGACATAAATGAGCTTCCAGACAGATTTGGTAATTTGCAAGCACTACAGACTTTGGATGTTAGAAGGTGTAGGGATTTGACAGAGCTACCAATCCAGATCCTCAAGCTTGTAAGACTGAGGCACCTCAAAATGCACGAGAACAAAAATGTTAGCGGGATGAAGCTACCAGAGGGAATAGGTAGACTCGGAAGCCTCCTGACCCTCACTGGTGTATATGCTGGTGGTGGCATTGCAGGAGAACTAGGGAAGCTGACACAGCTTAGAAGGCTGGGAGTGATGGATGTTGCTGAAGAGAACGCAAGTGAACTATATGCTTCAATAATGGAGATGCAGGGCCTTCTTTCCTTGTCTCTAGAAGCAAAGGACACTTTTGACAAAGGGCACCTTGTCCTCCAGGATTCATTCTCACCATCGCCTCTCCTTAGGAAAGTTCGCCTTGAAGGACGTCTAGAAAAAATACCGAACTGGCTAGGTTCAATGGAGTTTCTTACAAAGATAAGGCTAGGTTTTTCTCATTTATCTGAGAATCCAACATTAGTTCTTCAGGTCCTACCTAATCTGAAAAATCTAACCCTGTGGCATGCTTATGATGGAAGGCAGTTAGGGAAAGACTTCTGCAAGGCTGGTGGATTTCCCAAGCTTGAGGTTCTCATCATCGCTTCTCCTGTTCTTGAGGAATGGACAGAGCTTGAGGAGGGAGCACTACCAAGATTACAGTACCTTCACTTCCATAGCTGCTCGAATCTGAGGATGCTCCCTGAAGGTTTGCAATTTGTCACCACATTGGAGAAATTGGTTTTGCTGCCTTTGCTTGATGAGCATGAAGAAAGATTGAAACCTGATGGCGGGGTAGAAAATTACAAGATTAGGCACATTCCAAAGATAACATTCATTCGTACATCTGCTGTGGCTTCCATGTTCGATGCCCAATTCGGCACTTTCCCCCAACCCTCCACACCCAGTGACAGATGAAGAAAAAGTCATCTAGCATAGTGGCATAATTCTGTTAACTCAGGCAATACAGTTTTATGCATGTGCTTCTGATTGACTTATTTAACATTAGTGTATATCAGAATAAAGTCATACGGTGGCCACTATTTTCAGTGACCTCCTTTTTTGAATGTATTGATGTGTTAATTTCCTCTACCTGCTTCCTCTTATTGTTAAGAGGAAATGTTGGCATATGCTACTTTTGAGGTTCATGGTGAATTAAACAACTTAATACTAAACATTTTACCATATATCCAAAACCAATCAGACCTTAATGCATGGTCCATCAGCAAAGGAGCACTAAGTTATTACATCTAAGACTCGCATTACAGCTCTTTTGCAGAACTCCGTCTCCATAAAAGTAATGTTAGCAAAAGAGTTGTTTGTTATATCGTCATTATCATCAATGTTTTTGTTTTTGTTGTTGTCGTCACTGTTATCATTGTTCATGACAATATGGAAACAAGAGATTGAGCACGAATTGTTGAAATTATCCACTATAAAGGCATTAGTTAAACATATACACCAACATATGATACTCTTAAGAAAATAAAAGGAGGCTCTAAAAAGGCATGACTGCAAGCATGCACGAAAAAGACTGTCCTTATTTTGATCTATTCCAATTCAAAATGCATCCATCTAGACAGGTAGCAGAAAAATCTGAAGGGGAAAAAAAATCTGTTGTGCAGTTTGAGCCTACTTTTCTCATATTCATAAAACCATGCTGTGCTTATGAATGAGAACATGATAATTAGCTGTGAACTTCATCATAGATTGCTGGGTGGTAGAATTCAACAAAGGCATTAGGAGTGAGAATCTGAACCTGATTTAAAAAGGATTCTCGGTAAGATGTGTTTATCTTTTCTGCTCCAACTCAACTAAGACCGGACATTTTCTTTGCTCCAGCATTTAATTTGTTAAATGCCTCTCATCTTCTCAGCATCACCCGGGCTCCTATCCCCAGCATAAATGTTGGTAGCATAACAATGTAAGCGCCATTTTTGGCTCATAATTGAAAAGCTTCTGGGCTACAATTTCTGCCAACTCAGAACCCCCATGAGCATCACAGCATTACAACAATGCTCCCCGAATGCCAGAATCCACCGGTTGCTTTAAGGACAATAACATTATGTTCCCCATGCAAATGCCCTTCCATCATGAGAAGGTCTACAATGTGAACATAATTATCAGTTTTAGCTTGGAAGCAAAACTCATCCGTCATCCTCATGTTAATGCCCAGCTATCTTTAACCACGACAGCATGGCAACCGGCAGAAAGGTTAACTGAGAAAGTAGCCTGATCTGGCTTAAATCCTTTCTGTAGTATCTCCTCAAACATTTCAAAACCCTTAGAAGCAAGGAAGTGCAAGCCAAGAACTAGGATTATTGAATTGTAGGAAACCATATTTCGAATATTTTATTCAAATCCACGTCGAATTGCATAACCTTGCGGAGTATCTAAGTAGAAGACCGTGTGTTTTGCCAATTGAGCGGCTGCTACCAGAGATGGCAATGGAGATTATAAAAAGGATACGGTTTTACTAGAGTTAATAAATATTCATTAAAAATATTTAATGAATATATATATATATATATATATATATGATTTCAGACATGAGTATTCACTTTTTATCCCATTAATATCTATTTATTTATTCAGTTTTTTTTTATTAATTTACATATATCTAATTATATAAATTTAAAAATTAAAGATTAAAATATTTTTAAAAAAAAATTTAAGGATAAAAAAACTTATAAATAAATGAAAAAATACAAAAGAACATAAATTTTAAGAACTAAAATAAATATTTTTGATAAATTAAAATTAACAATAGTAAATGAATATTTAAATTTATGGATAAACTAATATAGACCAACTGAGTAAAAATTTATATCATGATTTCTTAACAGTAATGGATAGAATTTTTTTTTTTAATACAAATAGAGTAAAAAATTGAGTTAATAAATCGCTTATCCACCTTTTGTGATCCCTAGCTGCTACCAATACACAAGAAATGAAAACAGAATCCGGCTTCTTACCTTCCAAATTCAGATTCCTGTAGAAAAGCAATGGCTTCTCGTATGGTCCAGACTAGATCAGTTATCATCAAAGTAGAAAATGTTAGTAAATCAGGCTGAAATAAACTTCTACATAGCGATATGTGCAGAATTCGTGCACCTAAATCTTGAATGTGCTCAAAAAGTGCATAGCCTACATGATCATTACAATCAACAGACCAATTTTAAAGCATAAATTGCTTGCCCAGCTTCCAGCAAGCTAGAATCCATGAAACCTGAGATTAACCCAACAAAAGTACACCTAACTGGCTTCTGCTTTCCATTGTATCTCACTTCGTTAAAAAATTGCGACTCTTTATCCGAAATCATATATTCCACTATACAAAATCTAGCTCAAAACCCCCAGAAACACAATGCTTGCTTGCTTCACCAACAGAACCCCTTTTTGAAGAAGATGTCAGTAGTGCACTACGAAACACAGAATCCCACTCCAACCTAGAAAATATTGCTCCTCCATGTACAATTCTTAATCCATCTTCGTCGACATTCTCACAGCGAACGCGGATAATAAGTAACGCATAAGTAAATTATCAGGCAAGATATCACCTTTAATTATCTTCATCCATAGTCATAAATAATGCATCATAAGAGAATATGAGCTTGTGCATAAGCTCTGATCATGGAATTTCCATAGGAAAAAAAGTGCTGCTTTGAGGAGACTTTATCGAACAGGTTAGAAGCAAAGCATACATAGTATAAATCTGGGTGTATACACAAAGGGGGGTCATTTTAAGAAGTGATGGGCTGTGGTTATGAGAGAATGTTGTTAGTGTTTGATGATGGATGGCATCGGTTATTTAGAGTTGCTTGCGAAGAAGAATTAAGATTGAAACAGAAAAAGGCAACAAAAAATTGCTTAAATCATATATGTGTGTTTTGGTCTTTTTCAAATCTCAAGGTGGTTAAGGTGAGTGAATCCGTATGAAAAACATTTAATACTCTCTGTTACTTACTTAAATCTCAACTGCGTTTGTAGTCCAACGGTTAGGATAATTGCCTTCCAAGCAATAGACCCGGGTTCGACTCCCGGCAGACGCATGCATTTTAACTTTTGAACCTTTCCTGCAAGGAGCAGTTAAATGTGTATGGGTTTAACTCCGTCATCGTTACTTACCAAGGCAAAGAGAAAAATGTACTTCAAGCTCAGTAAATACGCACTTCAATATTTTGCAAAATCAGAGGTTTCATTTTTCTTTACTTCCAAAAAATTAGATTAAGAATTACACCAAGAGATGTTACATGTACTAATATAGTGCCATTTTCAAGCAAGTGATATTTGTCTGAAGGTTTGTAGACAAATCAGCCGATTTCTTTAAACTTTTGGAGCGAGTATTTGGCATATAATCATAATCATCTATCTCTAAAAGGTTACGAATTCGTCGACCACTGAAGAAAAAATAATAACACACAATTCTGCAGTTTTTAAATTTTTAATGCACTGTCTTGCAACAGAAAATGACAAATGAATGGCTTTGCTTTGGAATATGCTTTGAAATTTCCATCACAAATTCAATTATCATAAACTAAGACATCGTTTAAGAATAGGCTACAAAGAACAGAGAAGAAGGTGGATGTCCCTGATAATAAATCCCGATAAACTGTGATGCATCATTTCTCACCTTTGAGCAAACGGAGTGTTCTGTACAATTGAAAGAAATCACAGAGGCTGTAGTAAGATTGGAGTCACTATTATTCCAAGAGATGGAAAGCTTCAGTGAACTTGATTCAAATGGAAAGGACAAAAGGCACAATCAAGGAGATTAGTCGGGGAAATGCAGAAGGCCATGCTCCTTTCGATTGTTGTGAAAATGGACCTAGAGATACACATGAAGACTTGTATGACCACGTCAATGAGTTCGTTGGTCAAATTGAATCCGCACCATGGGCCAGATAGGTTGGCATTGGCAGATAGCTTCAGAATTAATCAGCAAAAAGTACAATCTAGACTTGCTGAAACTTGAGAGACCTACGGGGCAAGCTCTTCAATCATGTAGAGACTAAGATACCTCAAATGTTCAAGAACAAATATCTGAGAAGAACAAAGCTCCCAGAGGGAATACGTAGACTTGAAAGCATCCCAAGCCTCACTGATGTGCATGCTGGAGGTGACATCACAGAAGAACTAGGCAAGGTGATGAAAAATCTATCTGAGAACCGAGCATTAGTTCTTCAGCACCTGCCTGGTCTGAAAAATCTAAACCTGTGGCATGATTATGATGGAAATCAGCGAGGGAAAGAATTCTGCAAAGCTGGGTGGATTTGCCAAGCTCGAGGTTCTCATCATTGCCAAGTCTGAAGATGCTTCAACACATTCAAGCAATTAGTTTGCTTCCTTTGTTTTACGCAAATGCAGAAAGATTGAAACCTGATGGCAGGGTAGAAAAAGACAAGATTAGGCACATTCCAACAGCAGAGTGACATATTCTGTAATTACAGAAATGCATTTGGAAGCAGGAGGCTATGAGTTACTTATATTTTTTAATTATTAGTGAATTTCATAACAAGTCATTTGGGCACTCCAATTTTAAGTGACCTCCAATGTATTCACGGGTTAATGTCCTCTATCTGCTGCCTCTTATTGTTGCGGGGAAATTTTAGGCATTTGATGGTTTGAGATTCATGGAGAACAGAAACAACCCTATAGTGACCATCTTCCTCTGCTGTCTCATACTATCACCAAGACATAATAAAGTAAATTATAAATTAGTCCCTCTAGTTTTGAGAAACGAATTGATTAGTCTCCCTTGTTTCAAAAACTAGTTATTTAGTCACTTGATTAGTGTTGACCACGTTTAATCTTATATTACTATATTTCAAAAAATGTCTTCTTTTTTCATCGATCTTTCCATAATATCTATTTTTTTTCTTGTGCTTTAAAAAGAGAAAAAAAAAAAAACAACAACAACAAATTACAGAAGAAATCAAATGGACAAAAAGAACTAAATAATTAGTTTTTGAAACAGAGAAACTAATTAACTCGACATAATATCAAAAAAAAATTCAAAAAGAATAAATTAAAAATAAAACAAGGAGAATCTACCTTCCAGTTTGAACCTATTTTCCTACTATACATAATTTTGAAAATCACTTTACCACAGGAGGAGAACATGATAGTTAGCTCTGAGTTTAATCATAGATTCCTGGATAGTACAAGACTGCAAGCGATGAAAGCCAAAAGGATTGAGAAGATAAACCTGAGTGGAAGAAGATTCTCTGGAACATGAATTTATCTTTTCCCTGACTTAAATTCAATAACCTCCAATCCAACTAAGACCAGGCATTTTCTCTGTTCCAGCAATGGTTATATCATCTCTCATCTTCTCAACATCATCCCATCTCCGATCGCCAGCATATATGTTAGAAAGCATGACTCTGTAAGCACCTTTTTTGGGCTTACTGTCGAAAAGCTGCTGGGCTACAATTTCGGCCAACTCAGAATCCCCCTGAGCATCACAGCATGACAACAATGCTCCCCAAATGCCAGAATCTACTGGTTGCTTCAAGGACAAGATAAAATTATATGCCTCATCCAGCTCCCCTGCCATCCCAAGTAGCTTTACAATGTGAACATAATGCTCAGCTCTAGCTTGGACGCAAAAGTCATCTTTCATCCTCCTGAAAATTTCCCTTCCATCTTTAACAAGGCCAGCGTGGCAGCAAGCACAAAGGAGAGCAGAGAAAGTAGACTCATCAGGTTTCAATCCTTTCTCTAGTATCTCTGTAAACATGTCAAAAGCTTGGGAAGCAAGTCCATGCAAACCAAGACCTGAGATTATAGAATTGTATGAAACAATATTCCTGTTTGGCATATTCTCAAAGACACAAAGGCCTAATCCCACGAAACCACACTTTGAATACATGTCTATAAGAGCAGAAGAAACCATGACATTTGATTCAAATCCAAGTCGAACTACATAACCATGTATCTGATTACCAGGACCTACATTTGCCAGTTGAGCAGTTGCCACCAATACACTAGCAATCAAAATACAATCTGGCTTTTTACCGTCCAAATTCAGATTCTTGTAGAAAAGCAATGCCTTCTCACATTCTCCAGACTGAGAAAATCCAGTTATCAAAGCAGACCATGTTACTAAATCAGGCTGATATAAACTTCTAAATACACCATACGCCAAATTCATGCACCTAAATCTCGAATACATGCTGACTAGTGAACTGCCTACATGATCATCACAATCAAAACCACTTTTTAAGCATAACCCATGGATTCCCTGGCCAACTTGAAGCGAGCAAGAATCCGCTAAACCCACGATTAACCCAACAAAGGTATAACCATCAGGCTTCAGCTTCCCATTGTATCTCATTTCATTAAAAAATAGCAACCCTTTATCACAAAATCCACAATAACCACAACCAGAAATCATAGCATTCCACAGAACCAAATCTGGCTCAAAAACCCCACAAAACACCTTGCTTGCTTCACCAACAAGACCCATTTTTGAGTAACCTGTAACTAGTGCACTGCAAGTAACAGAATTCAATCCCAACCCGGAAACTATTACGCCTCCATGAACAATTCGCAATCCATCCACATAAAAATTTTCAAAGCACGCACGTAGGAGACAAGCATAAGTATAATTATCTGGTCTTACATCAGTTCCAATCATCTTTTCATACAGAAAAAACGCATCATCAAACCTATGAGCCTGTGCATAAGCTCTGATGATGGAATTCCATAAGAAAACACTGCGTTGAGGAGTTCTATCAAACAGGTTACGAGCGGAGGAAAGGTCACTGTTAATAGCATAGAATCTTACAAGTTTTGTTGCATAAAATGGGTCTTGTAAGAGGTGGGTTTTGGTTAGTAAAGCATGTAATTGTTTGGTTCTTGATAGTGTTTGATGGGTTTTCGATAGTTGCAAGAGAAGTGACTGAAATTCAATCAACATTTATGAAAGCTTTGTACGGTCAAGTTGCCATCTTTATCAAAATTGACCTAAGACAAAAGAAAAGCATGTTTTGGTATGTCAGGTGTGTGTAAGATCGTTAGTTTCAAGAAGAACCTGAAAGTAACAGCATTGATTGCTTGGTGTGACTGTGAGAGGTTGAGAGTGTTTTCTTCCCAGTTTGAAATTAAGGTAGTAAAGGTCGTTGCCCGCGTTAAGCTTCTACAATATGAACTGTCGTCTTCAATAAAACTGCATCACATGTCGTTGGCTGACCTTGGATGATTGCCCTCTTTAAGGATAACAATTTCATTTGATCCGGTTGGATTGAGTTATACCTTTTTTATTAATTTAAGGAATTTCTTTTATTAGATTTGAGTATATCCAAATCCTTCTTTTATGCTAATAGCAAACATGAAACCACAGTAATTATTTCTCTCCACGAAATTGTTGAACATCCTTCCCATGTCATCTTATTAGTAAAGATGATTTATCAAGTTGGAATTTTATATCAAATCGAATAATATTTTGCTACTGAAAAGCATTTCATTTTTTGAGAATCGTCAAGTGTTAGTAGAGTTTTCACCCTTGACACATTAGGCAAAACTAAATAAAGACTTGGTCAAACACCAAAGTAAATTAATGGCTTGATCCATTGGAGACATCTGTTCACACCTCAACAATCTAATGTTTTACTTTTCCTGAATTCGATTATGTTTCCGAGAAATCAAACTAGATTTTGTTTTCCAAATGTTACTGCTAATGAAATGACTTTATGTTCCTTGGACTCAACTTAAAAGCTCCTCAATTCCATCACAAGACGTACTTTGTTGATTACTGAACATGAATAAAAAAAAAAACTAATTGAGGTAAGAGAAAAAAATCATATAGATAGATTTTGAAGCTTTATCTTAGTTTTTTGTTATCAACTATTGTTGTAATTCCATTTTGACTCTTATATTTTAATAGAGTTTTGAAAAAAAAAAAAAACTCAAAGATGTCCAAAATTAAATATTCTATTCAATTTATCTTCTTTTTTTAAATCTAAATTTTTTTTTATGAGTTTTATGATTTTCATAAGTTTTGATGAAAATAACTGAATATTAAAAACAAAAACAAGTGAAGTGAAAATTGAGAAAAGAAATCGAGTAAAATAATAATAAAAAAAAGAAATTAAAAAAAAACACATACTATCCTACTCTAGTTTAATTAAATCTAATCTAATTTTTCAAGAATAATTTAATCCAATTTTGAAGTTAAGTAATCCTTAATCAAGCAAGACAATTTTATCTAAAAGGAATGAATCTAGACAATTAGGTGTCCAGATACACACCCCAAATTATTTATAAATAAGGGAAAAAAAGTCGATGAAGGATCAAAACCGAGAGGTAAAATATAGGAATGAGCAAACGATTCGATTAATCGAAAATCGAACAAAATCGAATCGAATTATGCAATTTGGTTCGGTTTTAAATTTAAAAATATACAATTTATAATCAAACCGAAAAAACTAAAATTATTTTTTCTCGTTCGGTTTTTGAAAAAAAAATCCGATTTAAATTCGAAAATCGAAATAGTGAAAATTTTCTAATTTAATTCTAAATCCTTAACCCTAATCGGCTAACTAAATTCGGTCTCTCTTCGAACTCTTTCGACTTTCGTTCACCGAAATCATCGACTCATCTAACATCTCATCGTCTCACTGGCCGGCGCCATTAGGTCTAGTTCTCGTTCTATCTAATGTCTTCTTCCCAAACCTCCAAATCTTGATAAATGCTCATGTCTAAGAAGTTGTTTGAGTCTCTAAACCTAATATCTTGGAGTATAGAGAGAGAACTCTAGTGATTAATAGGTTTCTAGAATGTAATAACATTATTGGAGGATCCGATAAAAAAGACGGGAGGTTGTGCGATGATAGACGGTGGATTTGCCACCTAGCTTAAGGGATACGGGGCAACCATTAATGACCCTCTTTGGAGCACTCTCCGTTTGATAAAGATCCCGACCTCATCAAACGAGTCTCTCTTTCGCTTTCTTTATATCTCCACGTATTCATTTTCTTATTTGAAGGTAATTACTTGAGATTGGTTTCAAAAATAATTGTTTTGAAAATTTTGGATTGCATATTTTCACTGTTATCTACGAGTCAACCGGTGAATGTTGTGATCCCATGCCCTAGAGACCGGACGGTGAAAATGTGCAAGGAGTTGGGAAGGTCGGCTTGTGTAACGATCTTGCTTTATCTACCTTCATGTTTTTGGAAACTTGTCATTTTTTGAGGCCGTAGTTACCGACCACAACATTGGGTTATTTTGCGGGCGTTCTTGGAGTATGCGGACACTAAAGGTTCTTCAAAAGCCCGAGGGGGATAAATGGGAGGAAATTTGGTGGAAATCAAGTTGTGACTGTCTTTTTCCCGAGAACACGTTTTTCGAGGGAGAATATGATGACTAATTAGTTCTAGAGCCTTCCATCCACCACTTGGGATTTGCATCATTATGATTAGAATATTGGTTATGTTTTTAATTATAGCTTAGAATTCTCTTAGTTTTTGGCTTTTGGGTGTTCGATTAAATGCCTTGTTGAAGTCCTATGAGCGAGATGTTAGTCAAAATTTGAACTAGTTCTCTAATGAATGGCTATGTTATTCGACTACTTGCATCCAACAAGTTTTTATTTTTATTTTTTCCTACTCTTAATTGTTTGATTGTGAAAAAAAAATTGGAATAAATTTAAAGATTTCATTTTTAATTACCTCCTATTTTGTCTTATTTGGATTCATTTTATATTTATAGGCCACTCTTCCTAGATTTTTGTCCAAGGGATTATCCATTAAAAAAGGAGAATTGTTATTGAAGAAAAGTGTTACATTGGTTGTTGAAGCTCGTGATAAATTATGTGATGCTTGTGGAAAGTGATCTTGGACGGAGTTATAACCGAGGCTTTGGTAGAAGCCTCCATTGGAAGCTATGGAGCTTATCTTGCTCGATGGCTCGAGTACGAGTGCCTTTAAAAAATACTTAATTCTCTAAAGCTTTTTGGATCATATAGATTAGACTTGATAAGTTCACATTTTCAATGTTATAGTGTATTGACTTTTTTTATTTTGTATATACTTTTTGCTTCTAGTGGGTGTTATGGACAATATGTGAATTTGGAAAAGTCGAAGGATATCCATCGATAGAGGTTGCAAGTTCTTGTTGAAGCCTAGGTTTGTTTTTCTTTCATTTATGCTTTTTGGAGTGGCACACATATTAGAATTAATATGTTGATAAAAACTATGAGGCAAAATCACTATTACTTCATGCAAATACAAGTTCTTTTATCAACATTGAAACAATCGGGATTCCTTACATCTTAAAATTCTAAACTAGCCTCTCGAGCCGCAATAATAACAACAACTACGCCTAGACCCCAAACTAGTCAAAGTCTGCTACATGGATCCTTTTACATCATTCCACACGACCATAATTCTCATCGAGCTTTATGAGCAACTTTACATATTTGATATGTTCTCTTAGGAATCTAATTGTTAATTTGTTGCACTCCTATTTGTGATCTCTTCCTTGATAGAAGCATGATACTCCGTAACATAACAACTTTATGATGTAGTTGTTGAAGTCTAATTGAGTTTTATGGATATGCCTTACAACTTATCATGAAGGTTTGGTTTGAATGCATAACTATCCTCAATTTTGTTTTGTCAATCCATACTTTGTTGATATAGCGGGGTAATTATCTCGTCTAATTATTTGTATGTTGTTTGATATGTGGTGCTCGATAAGAAAAATACTTGTGTTATACCTGGATATGTTGTTGAAGGGATCCTAGCTAAGACAATAATTAATGAACCAAGGGAGTTTTAGCTTATCAATGCACTCACTCGCACAATTGAACATATAGGTACATTACATCTCATTCTCTACTCATGCAGATTATGCATAGACAAGTACATTTTTTAAAAAGCTCAATTTTCTTTTTATAGCAAAAAGTTTGGTTAAACCGAATTATTTTGAAATCGAACCAAAATAATTCGGTTTCAAACCGAATTAATTTTGGTTCGATTTTGGTTTTTATTTTTCTTAATTCGGTTAATCGAAAACCAAACCAAATTAAGCTTAAGCTGAACCGTTTAATCAAATGATTACCCCTAGTAAAAGATATAAAAGAAAAAACCAAAATTTTTTATTTTCTCTCTCTCTCTCTCTTCCCATCGGGCTCCCTGTCTCACTAACAAGTCACATAATTTTAACTAAAAAATGCAGCAAAACTAATCAAAACCATCAACCACCATTCCATCAACTCTTATCCAACCTATGACAACAATTGAGCATGAAGAAAAATGTCAAAAATGATTGAAAACAACCATATATTTTCAATCCGCTAAAACTCATTCAATCTCCATTTCGAGTTTTCGAGTCAATTTAGCCCTTTCAATGGTTGTAATCAAGCTCCAATCGGTTCTAATTGCAATTTACAAGTGATTTCGAAATTCAAAACTCACCATTTTTCGTCGACCAAACTCATTAAGGAAGAAGAATAACTCACGTGAAATGATTTTATGGTGCTGATTTTAGCTAATTTTCATTCTTTTTTGAATAGTTCATGTGGAACGATTTTTATGACATTATTGTCACTTCATTTAAGTGATTAATGTGATACAATTTTTGTAATGCTATTATTTTTTTTATTTTCTATTTATTGATTAATAAATTTTTAAGATAATAATTTGTTGATGGCAATGTCACATCCATCCATGGGTTTTTATTTCACATATTACAAGTGAAGTCAACGACTTTCATTTTGTACATCTATACATTAGTTTTCATTTCAAATATTTGAAAAAAAAAATTGGTCATCATTCCACGCACTTATACATGGACTTTCATTCCACCTCGCTTTAAGAAAGTTATGGATTTTTTTTCCATCCATTCATTCATACATGAGTTTTTATTTCATGTATTTTATTCAAGTTGCATTCTTAAGAAAGGATTTTTATTTCA